TAGGCTGGGAAGGGGAATCAGCAGCTTGAAATGAGTGGATAAAAAGAGGCAACAGAGAACATTACAATAGGTTCTGAAACTCAGGGAAATGGAGGAAAGAAGTCTCAAAGGACTTCCATGAAAAGCACACAGGAATGCTGATATGACATTAATGAATGTAGATCAAAATGAATACGTTCTTTCCATTGTGTGATAAGATCACCACTTAGAGACACCATTCGATTAAATGAACTGCAATAATTGCTAAAAAACAAGGGAATTTTAAAGGGCAGATTTATACCTGACATCCTGTAAAAGGAATCGCTTTGAAAGTGCCGTTGGAAAGTGTCACTTAGGTTCAAATCCCTTAGAGGTTTGAATTTAAAACCGAATCAACATATTTCTAAGTTCCATGAGACAGAGGTTCTCAGGACTCTCATATCTGGAAAGAGCTACAGGAACTAAGTGGACAGGCAGGAATATGCAGCCTTTTTAGTGTATATATGTAAGTCCATTATTAAGAATGATAGGAGGAGGTAGGGAAATAATTGCTCCTTTAATAATATCCTAATATTCTAACATTTTGATGTTGATCCTGTCTATAAGTATTGTTCAAATGTTTTATGAAACATATTTTAGTCTTACTAAAATGTCAGAAAGAATATACCTGAAATGTATATGAGGAATGAAAATAGATAAATCAACCTGAAAATGTCCTTATGTACATGATCTTGAACAATTAAAAAATTAACTAACCCAATGCATTTATCTGCATTTGCTGATAGGTATTTGCCCATCCAGGTTGGCAATTGTCACAAAATGTAGCAAAGGCCTAGGACAAATTCCCACCTCTACCACTCACAGGCATTAGATGATTTCATCGTTCTGATCCTATGTTTTCATGGGTACCATGGGGGTTTATTTGAAACACAAACATTTTTGATTATCTACTAATGTGGGCACAAGTTTATGAAAAGTGATAGAACACTGCCCCGGCTCACCGGATGCTTTTATCCTTTTCTTGGTGGTTGGCGGTGATAACACTGAATCACAGGATTGCTGAGTTGACAAGAAGAGGGAAGGTATTTGCTAAACTAGAGATTTCATGTAATTATTATTATTATTATTATAAAATATAGTTAATGAATAAAGGGATTCAGAGTTTGCTAATGGGACGACTCATAAAAATAAAGGCAGTCAATAGATATCAGATAAGCTTTTCTTTCTTCCTCTATTTAATAATCTTATTCTTCCCAATCCCTTCCTTTTTGATGTAATATTGATTTATAACTCCCCCTCCTAATTCTTTCCTACACAGGGATTTAAGAGTTTCTCAATCCTATTCTACTAACCACGATGAGTGATTATGTCCCGAACATAAAAGTGAACGTGACATCCATTTTTCTCAGGCTCTATTCTCTCCCAATGGAGTCAGATGTTCCATTTTACTCAGAATACCCACCTGCTTTAATATTGCTGGGAGGCCAAGAAACATTCATTCAACATCTACTGACATCTCCTTACTATGCTAGGTTGGCAGCTGTCATTTGGGGGGTAAAGACTCCCCACCCAGGAACCATCAGTGCCCTGGGGATGTCTCTGCTCCATTTTCCTGCAGTTGTGTCCTTCTTGTGTTTTAGATCATCTGCAGCAAACTGATAAGCTTACAGCTGGTCACCAGGGATTCAACTAGTGTTACACCTGACGCCCATACAACTGCCTGCTATGTGAGTACCTGTGACAGTTAAGACTTTGTACTTCCTTGGGATGGGGTATTTTGCTTTTCACCCAGTTTTTGTAAAATAATACAAGCCTAAATGAGCGCGCACACACACACACACACACACACACACACACACACACACACAAATTTTTCATGTTCACAGCATGAAAGAGAAGTTTATTAACTGGAAAGTTCAACCATGCATGAGAAAACAGAAGGAATCTTAAGTCGCTAGGGAGTTCCAATCACAGTGGTATTGAATCATGTTGGTGTTAACGAAACAGGGTTCTATCTCAGGACAATATCCCTTTTTCCTTAATTATATTAAGTGTGATAGATGTAATTAAGAAGGAGACCAACAGAAAAATTTGTGAATGATTTTAAAACACACTGTTCAAATAGTAGGTAAATGGGTGATTATGGCTTCATCTATAGCCTCAAGAAGGGAAAAAAGTTTGATTACTTGAGGGCAGTAGACACGTCTGAAAGAATGAAAGAAACCAGGTTAAATTCACAAGTCACATATATAGTTCTGCACTTTATGGATGAATTAAAGGGTTTTTTACAGTAATTTTGACTACTGGAAATTGTCACTTGTTAACTTTCAAACCTCACTTGCAGCTGTACTGTGTATAAAAAAGAAAATACCTCCTGGGTTTCATTTGCAAAGGTGTGGCCTTCGCTGCAATAAAAAATAGTACCAGGTAGAAAAAAAAGGTACTTAGTAGAATAATAAGTAAAATAACAGAATTCTGTATTTATATTTAAAAAGATAAAAATTAATCACATAGTTCTATAATAAATGGAAACCCAATGCATCATTAATAAATAATCTCCAAAGAAATTTGGAGAAATATTAGGTCAGTAAAGCCAAAGATGCTTCTTTGTGAACATATTAAAAATTCTGTTAGGGCCAAGTCCTTAATACCTATCTCAAAAGCCACATGTGCCTTAAGAGAGTTCTCTTTATACCCTTAAAAGCAACTAGTAATATAATAATGAGATGAAGCTGAGTTAATGCAGAAAAGTGCAGAGGGCTTCCTGAGTGACATTGGTACAATTTTTACTCGGGTAATAGAACTTCTGCATTTCATTTTCTTCATCTGTAAAATGGGGATAGTAATACCTCCAAGGGTTATTATAAGACTTGGATGGGACATACTGTATTTACAGGCCTTACGCTGGTCTGAGGGGGTCCCTAAAGATGAAGACTGCTTTGTTCACTACAATGACAGCAGGCCCGTGCTAGGTGCCATTCTAAGGGCACGGACAAATTCATTTTATCCTCTTAACCTTGAACTACTTCTAAGTCAGAAAGTTTCCAGAACAGTCATAGAGGAGGTTAAGATAGCATTGATGAGAAAAATTGGCCTGCTTATTCTCTGGCCTCTAAAAGTCCCATAATGAAAAATTCGTAGAAATGTAAACAAGGAGGAAGAAAATAGAGAAAAACTGTTTTTTCTTAAGTCAGGATTACCTAATTTTCAGAAAATAAACTCTCAAACAATAAAATTACACAATTAGGACTGCAAAAGAGATGAACACCACTTGTAACTTATGGTCACAAAGTATGCCTATTTCAGTGATTATCATCTGAAACATGATGATGAAATATTATTGATACAGATGAGTGACGTGAAAGCCGAAGTGTGCTCCCAGCCACGCTTTAAAGCCTGGTGCTGTGAGAACTTGCTCCTTGAAAGCTGCTGTCCATGCCACTACTCCCACATCCAACCACTTGACTGGAACTGCTGATGAGACAGCACTTCTCCTCATTGAAAGGGGAGTATTTGAGCACACTGAAATATAAGATGAAACTCTCCTTAAGGTTATGACTGCCTTTCTGATTGTTCGGACAGAACGTGCTCTGGGGAACTACATTATTTTGAGGTACCTCTGAGCAAGAGAACTGGGTGGGACCAACCGGCTCTAAAATAATTGGAGAAATGGCAGACTCTTGACTAAAATATGTTAATCCCCTATTCAATCTGAGAGTGGAATGTCCTGCACTTAATGAAATAAAAGTGTTTAATCTAGATCTCTTACCAGTTTAATCCTTCATTCACAGCCAACCCTTCCCGAGGTTTAAAGAGAGGAATAATTGAAAGAATAGTCACAAGGGCATGGGAAGAAGGCCTGCTGCCCCCCCCCCCCAAGTGCATACTTGACACCCACGTGCCAGACCCAGAATAAACCCTCCCAGAGCCATATTTGTCTTAGCCTTTGCACCTTGGCACCTAGCAATCACGCTGTGGGGATCATATTCTTCTGAATAAGAAAACTAAGTAGCAGATAGACTTTCACCAGGTTCTGTACACCTCTTCTGCATTCCCGTGGGGGAGAAGCATACAAACAGGGGCTGTGCGGTGGCACAGTTTGAATGACTGCTCTTTTCGTTTCTCATTCACTAGCTCCACTTTAAAACGAGGTTGAGCAGAGTGACCAAAACTGTTTTTCCCTGGTGGGAAGAATCTCCACCGAGAATTCAGAGAACAGGTATTTACTGAGTGCTTACAGCGTGTCAGGATTTTCCATAGTTATAGTGAAACAAAACACGTCCATCTCAGAGAGGTTTTCAGCGTAAGTATTCCAAAAAGGTTTGGGGGTGACAGGATGGTAATGGCTCACGAGGAAGAAAAATCATAGCATTGTTTTAGGCCTTGGAAGGTTAAAGATGCCAATTAGACACACAAATGGTGAGAAGCAGGAGGCAGAGAAGAAAGTCTGGAATGCAGAGGTCTGGCCTGGAGGAAAAGCACTGGGAGGCATCAGCATCGAGGTAATATTTAAAGCCATGGCGCTGCCCCACATTTCCTAGGAGAGTAGAGATGAAGGCCATGGTTAAGGGCAGAGAGCCATGAGGCCCTTCGACATTTCCAAGACTGACGGAGGAGAAAAATTCAAGGAAATAACCACAGAAGCGACCAATGAGGTGAGCAGAAAACCGCATTGGTCTGGTGTTGTGGAAGCCCAGGAAAAATGTAAGCAGAGAGTGCTCACTAGTAATGCTACTGTAAAGTCGCATAAAATACAGAGAGAGAACTGGCCACTAGTTTTGGCAAAAACAAGAAACTGTTCATTCTATAATTCAGTGCAAATTTCCCAATGAATTCTATTATCACCACAACTTCAAAGAATAACAGAAATTCCCTGGGAGTGTATATAAAAGAATTATTTCGAAGGGAAATATTTTGCGGTTATGGATTTAAAAATAAACAAAAAGCATTCATTTTAAATTTTTAATGAAATTTTTTATTCTGTTTAAGTACAGATGTCTCCATTTCCCCCTAACACTCCCCTCTGCCCCACCCATCCCCACCTTCATTATAAAATTTTTATTCTATTGCATTGTCATTTAAAATTACAATAATTTAAGCAAGTCAATGTCAGAAGAGATCCAGGGTGATCATCTGCAGTATTTAGTGACATATTAATGGCAGTGTGAAAATTTCAATTAATTAAAAAATTAGGTTTCATATAAGTAATAATTCAGCTAAGCTTTGTCTCTGTATAGAAACTTCCATGTGGCTTACACAATTCCATTTTCTCCGACTGGGAGCTGTGTGGGATCCAGTCCCACTTTCTTCATTGACACGGCCATGTCAAACAAATAGTCATAACACTCACACCTGCGAAAGAAAAAGCAAAACAAACTGTCTTCAGAGAAACAGGGTCCCCAATCTTAATAGTCACACTGCTCCTCTCCGCCAACTTTAACCCTGCTCCTAGCCGGCTTAGGAATTTTTCTCAACTGTAAGCTAAATGTTTCTTATTTTGCCTCCAACATGATTAAAGCATGGAAAGAAATAATATTGAATCATGGAACCATAATATACTTCTCAGGATCTAAAAAGGAGTTTAAAATATACCATTTATATAAATTTAAATTTTTCACTCTGCCATTTGGCCTTTGGCATTTCACTTTGCCATTTGAAATAAATGTAGCAAATCATTATATAACATGGATTCGCTTTATTCTCCCTTCCAATCTTAACCTCCGAGAACAAGATCTGCCTCTCCTCCTTCGTACTGCAGTGCACAGCACTGTGCCAAATCACAGCTCGTCCAATAAATATTTCATTAAAAAACCTTTCTTTTTATCCTCACTCAGGACTTTTTTTCAATGGTCAAAAAAGAGAGAGAAACAATGACTGGTTGCCTTCTTGCAGGTGCCCTGACCAGGAATTCGACCTGCAACCTGGGTATGTGCCCTGACCGGGAATCCAACCTGCCACCACTTGGTTTACAGGACAACACTCCAGTCAACTGAGCCACACTGGCCACGGCTAAATGAATACACAGTGCAAGTCAAATATCTAGAAACAATAATAATAAACTATTTCAATTTGACCAATAGCACATTTTTAAAAAATCACACTTCAGTTAACTCCTAAGACATATTTTGCTTTCTTTCACATTTAGAGTATGGTGACTTGTCCCAAATGTTTTTGATTTACACTCACATAGTTTTAGCCTTCTCCCAAGTCTCTCCCCAGACGTAAACCCCATGACGCCTGACCAGTACTGCACAGGAGTCTGGGTATTCATTCATCGCACGGGCCATTCGTTCTTTGAGGTCTTTCTCCTCGGGTGTATTCTCAACAATGGGTACTACCAACATATCATCATATCTACAAGATAAAACAAGCCATTTTTTCCATTACAACAGAAGCCCTCATATGTGAAATTTGTAAATTTTTTCAGGCAACCAGTCAGACAGCCTCTTTGTATCTGGAAAGCCGCTCTGCATAATGAACGAGATGTGGCGTGTTATTCTGTGTATCTGCCCAGACGCCTGTGTACCTGTATCACAGAGACCTTGGGACTTCCGCAGGCATCATTCTGACCCTGAGACTGAGTAGCAGAAATGTGTGCAGGATACCAAAACCCAACAGAAATGATCAAGATCGTACAAGTATTTCCTTGAAGCAGAGACAATCAAAATATTTTTAATAGGAGATGGGAAATGATAGATTTCAGAATCAGAACTGAGGCATTAACAATTAAACTACTTATGAAGTAGAAACTTTTAAATGATGAAGGACATATGTAACTCTGAAGGACCCCAGAGTAGCTCAGATGAGTAAATGCAGATGTGATTTGTGTCACTGGGGTAACGAGGAACTTCTAGAGACGACTATGAAAGACATGATAGTATTTCAGAGCATTCTTAAACGTGGGGCATCAGAACTTCTTTTGCTTCCGCCTTGTTTCAGTGAATACATGTGGTAAAATCAGAATGTGTCTTTTTATTCATGTAATAGCATTTAAGCAAATAACTTAGTTACTATAAAGTTTAAATCTGTCCCTAAGGTCATTTACAACTGCTTAAAACTAAGACAAGTTTTCCTTTTGACACGAATTTCTCTTGCCTTGGTGATATAAATCAGCTTTTTCACACTCTCTGTAATAACTAACCTTAACCTAAAAGTTGCGCTAAATCAGTATCAGAAATTACTACTTTACAGCAGGTACAGACTAAGTAGCTGTCATGTGTAACTGGGCCAACCATTATTATTAACAGCACTGAGTTGCTCATTATTTCACTTAAGTAAAGTAGAGGTAATTATAAAATATTCTTAAATATGGGAGGAAGGAATTGCTACTCCCAAATCTTTCCTAATATTAGCCAGGAGAATGACAAAGTTATATTTTCCTTTAGCATATACTGAATAGTCAGACAAATTTCAGGGGCAAAATAATTCCACAGCAAAAAAAAAAAAAAAAGACCTGAAAAGTAATTCAACCCAAGCCACCCACTTTACACTAATCCTTATATTTAAATGATAGACAGAGCCAATATGGTCCTTGACCATCAAACAGTGTTTTTTTTTCACTCTACCATGTTGCTTCCAAAAAAAGAGCACAGTTACATGTAAATATGGTAACTTCTGCTGATAGGAATTAGGTTATTTCAAACATTGTTCTCCAAAGGGGACCTAAAAAAATAGAATAGAGACTATCAGAACCTTCTTTTCTTACTTCATCCAGCCTTCATTGCTCCTTCTTTTGAAAACTGGGCTCTTAGAATTCCTCACAAACTCTGGTAAAGTATGACTCCCTCCTGAGCTGAAAGAAAGGCTCTGTGACTGGTTTCCCAGCCAGGCTCAAACAGAATCACAAAGGATGTCTCAGAAAAGTCTGTATTCTTTAAATCATGAAACACTCACAAGAATATACTCAATGTATATGTTACAATACATAAGAAATGGCATCTTTTCAAAAATTCATGCCTTCCCCCCCCCCAAAATTCCAAAGCTTTTTATTGTGCCCTGTTCCTCTCCCCACTGTTGGCTATGTTCTTCTATTTTTATTCCTTCGGGAAAGCAATCAAATGCTGATGAAACTGATATCACACATAATGGCTTTCCTTCAAGACCCAGATATGGAAAAGGCAACTAGACTTTCTTTAGTATGTACACTTTCATAATATAAATATTTAACTTTTGTAAATAGGTATTTCACAGTGTTGAGGAATGCTTTAGGCCACACAATAAATATTAACTAAAATCAAATCACATCGGTTTCTCAGCACACTGGTTTGAACATGTACCTTCTATCACAGGCAGCAGCAACGAGGTCCTGCTGTCAGAACGCTTTAGAAAACCTGGCACCCGCTTCCTCTAAACAAGGCCCTTTAGGAAAATTATGAAGGCTGAAGACTCCGGAGCAAGGATGCCAATACATGCAAATGAAATGCTCAGCTTACATCCCAGCACTAAGGGCATGTTTCGTCCCGTCACTATATTCTAGACTGATGAGTAATTACTACACTATTGTGGGCTGGTGGATTTATTTGGTTTTATCGAGACCCCTGTTGTATACTATCTATGCCACTTTCCACAGTGAAAAATTGTAAGACATAAGAAGACGTACTTAAGTGAAATAATAATAAAACTTTTATAAATATGAACATATTCTAGAAACACTAAATCCAATCAGAATGAAGTGAAGACTTCAGTCAGGGCTGAAACCTCCTGCAGACAAAGTAAAGACCTTGCTCTTTGGGTGCATCAACGCAGGGACATAATCTTACCATCTTTATGGGCGTCTCCGCCAAGGTTTTGTCATTTTGCTCTGATAAACATGTCATTACTCGCGTTGCTAATAATTTACCAAGGCAGTGGCAAGAGTAGGGGAGGGGGAGGGGAAGCATCTGATTTGTTTCTCTGGGCACAGATTTGGAGTATAATATTCAGTGAGGTATTATTTAACGTGGATTCTACAACAACTCATTAAATGCATTAAAAAAAAATCAGCAGCCTGTTTATCTAAAGAAGAAAGAATACTTTTCAAATTATTCAAGCAAAAGTAGAAAAAAAATACCTATAATACCCTCCTGAGGTACACTTCTTTATTCCTTTTATCATCTCTTGATGTGTGATTTTAAACTCCCGTCCCGGAAAAAGAAGGGTGGCCATCACAGCAGCTTTCGAGTGCGTGTGGATCACTGCGCCTGCTCCTGGGGAGGCAGAAGGAGTCAGGGGCTCAGAGCTTATTACACCTTTCAAAGAAAAATATACACACACACAAACATGTGTGCGTGCACACACACACACATACATGGTTATGGACTTGTTTTTCTTGGCATGGAATAAGGTGGCAGTAGGTAGAAAGGTAGGAGGGAGGGAGGAAGAGAGAAATACACATCACCCAGTATCGGATCAATTCATAATACTTTACATGTGCTCGTGAAGTATCTCTGAGACGGCCCAAAGTACAGCTCTAATAATCATGGACATCACAGTCATAACAATGCTGCCACGTACTCAGGGACTCCTCTGTGCCAGGCGCTGGGCAAACCTCGTTTTACGTGTTATCTCTTTGCATCCTCACAACCACTGCAGAGGTCACCTTTTCCATAATGGTCAATGGAGGCTCAAAGAGGTTAAAAAAACCTTGCCCATGGTTCACAGACATAGTAACAGAACTTGAATTTGAACCCAGGTCAGTCTGACCCTTAATCATCAAGTTAGGCTTTCAAGTACAGGACATATCTTGGTAGCATAAGGGACAATAGAGATTATAAGGTATCGATGCAATGAATTTACCTAGAATAGGATTTGAATGTTATAAAATTCAGTAATGGCTATTTATGAAATTGGAAGTTTACTGAGTTTTATGCGGGGAAAGGTCGCTCACGCTATTAGAATCTTCTCCTGAAGTTCTATCCTTTCCATGATAGCTGACAACGTTCAGGAACAGAACACAGCATGACCACTTACTCAGTACTGACTTCATCCGGTGACCATGTCGGAGTGAAGTTCTAATGACTCCCCAGCTATGGCTGAGCCAGCACCTCAGTTACAATTTTCTATTTTAACATTGTTTTCTAGGTCTGACCTTTCCAGGCTGGTTTTCTACCGTGATTTTGGGGAATTCAAATAAAATTCCTATTTTTATCACACAGTAAATTTTTCAAACAGACAGGACTACTCCCACCAAGGTGAGGAAAAGGCCGGTTCTCCCTCACTGTAATTTGATTTACTTCTACTACAAGTTCCCGGAGGTGCAACTCGAAACCGAGTGGGAATCTGACTGTACTCATAGTTCTCGACCAGTCTGACAGTCCAGCAAGAGTCCCACTGATCTAGGCTGCAATTCCGGCCCGGTACTTGCTGGCTGTTTATCTTGGAAGAATCTTCCCATCACCTCGGGCCTCCCGGGAGTAAAATGGAGTAACCACGGACCTTCTGCAGAGGCTGCTGTGAGGAGGGAAGGGGTGAACATAGGAAAAGTTCTCGCACATAGTAGGCACCCAAGAAATGTTAACCGTAACCATCATTAATTACCACTGCTCAGGGGAGCCTGCTCTACAAACATCCTTCGTGTCGAACCCATGAGCAGCCTACCTCGCATGGTGTAAGCATTCATGAAAAGAGGTGTACACTGGCTCTTTCTTAGACTCCTGTGTGGCGGAGGTCCGCGTAGGTCCTGTTCATTGATGTCACAAACAAACAGGTCTTCAGGCTACGGACCGAGGGCAAAAAAAGCAAAGCTTTATACTGTGTCATTAGAAATGTCCCCTTTCTTATAGCATAAAGGTTGGCTAACGTAGGTTTACAGTTGTGAGCACACAAAAGAGTTTATCGTATTATTGTTTATTATTGTATTATAGTTGTATCACTACTGTAAACCCACTTTTGCCCACCCCAATATACAGTCTGCACTCACATGCAGAGTGATAATATATGTACCCTTATTCAACTCATATTTTAAATATTCATATAATTATAGTCTATCTCTCCAAGTTTTTTTACCCATTTTGCGAACAAAAAATATTTTATACTAATGAAAATATTCCAGAGAGCTAAAAAAAAATCTTCCTTTAGAATCTGAAGAAAAAGTTGATATGGAATATTGAACATGTGTGCCGTGATGGCTGTCGCTTCATCGTTGTAGGTTCACAGGCACATTTCAGAGAGACTAGATAAAGAAGCCGTTAGTCTAAGATGGGTGTTTTAATGTCATAATATCAGAGGAAAATATAGAGAGTAAAATCTTCTTAATCCCCTGAGATACTTAGCTGCCACTCAGAAATGTTAATCTCAACAAGGTGCATTACTCCTGAAGTTCTAAGTACTTATGGAGAGTCCCAGGTATTTCCTGGTAATGCATGTGTGTTTCTGACTTGGCACCTGTATCTGCTGGGGTTTATCACACATGTTTAATTAATAAAGCATTATGCCATAAATAGAAGTTAAGTACTCTGTGGCCATTTTAATGGGATATTACTGTAGCATCAATACGAATGAGTCTTCTCAAAATTTTGAAGTTTTATAATATTAAGTTGGAATAGCTTTGCTATTACCAAAGAGGAATCGAGTCTGGTTCATCTGAGACCATCAGTCTGATTCCCTACTGGCCTGATCAAGGTGGTGTTCTGATGCTGCAAGTTAGAATCCCTTTTTATTCCATGACTTAAGATTGTACTATTAACTCCTGCCCTCTAGAGGCTGCATGGGAGTTCAAAACACACTGGTTGCATGGAGGACACTCACTAGCTTATAAAAACATTTCAGTTACTCAACTAATGTTTGTTAGTAAGTTAGTTAAACTCTCATAATATGACCATCCTTCGAAACAAACTTTTTTAAAAAATTAATTCCATTTCACAAAACAATCGTCAAGCGGAGAAGAAAAGACGTGTGAATTTAGGAAGAATGCCTTCACCATACCTCAATCCGCTCCTTTTGCACTCCTGAAGGAGCAATGTAGATTTCATCGCTGGTAACACAAAATACAGAAATTGGTATTTATTGAACTCTAATATTCTGCTTTTGCACAAAGAAAAACGCATCCTCGCAGTCCAATCATTAATGTTTCCCATAAGTCAAGTCACACAAAGAACAGCCTGATTTAATTAATGGTATAGGCTGTACAGAAAGGAATACCTGAGTGCCTTTGTAACGCTGGTGACACAGGAAAATGGTGGTAGTTACTCTAGTCTTCTACGTTTTTATATCTATTTCTTTATTTCTTTTTATGGGACAAAATCATTGGTAACCAGGCTTTCATCTGGTTAGGAGAAATAAAATCTGAAAACGCAGGTCTCCAGCATGAATCTTTAAGCATGAATAAGCAGAGTTTGTCACAGTCCATGTGGAACACAGTTAATCTAAAATCCAATGAAGAGAAAACATGCGCACTAGGAGTACATATCTGTCTTGCAAGTAATCAGGTTTAATTTTATTCTTTCAAATGTTCTTATTATAAAAGATGAAGTTCAGAGACCTCTGCTGGACAGTTTATTAAAATTACAGCAGTAACAGCTACTTTGGGGGAACAGTATGCTTTCTCTTTGAAAAACACATCTACCTTATGAAAATATTTGACGAGAAGGCAAAAACAGTTATAAAAGTTAAAATACGAAAGACACGGCTACATCCGGAGGTCTGTCTGTTACAGAATGTTGTGTTATGCCCTACCATTTACCACAAGGTGCTCCCAAATTTGATTTGCAAACTGATTTCAAAATCTTCTCTGAATTCTCCACCCCCCCCAACGAGGATCCTCTGGCTCATTTACCAGTTTCCGTTGCTACCAGAGGGTACAGAGCTGCCACACGCGTGCAAACGGAGGAAATGCCAGCACATGCACGCTGGGGCTTCTGCCACTGAGGCATGGACACAGGGATATGTAGTAAATATTAACTGTTCCACACCGGAAATGAGGACAGCCTGCATGGAGTCAAGATCGTCAAACCTGGGGTCACTAGTAAAGCCACCAACCCGGAACTGATGAAAATGAAAGGAAATGAAGCAAGTTCTTTAACGGTCCACTGGTAAATTTAGGTCTAGAAAACAAATGCTTGACCTGACAATGGCAGTGGGAACCAAAGCACGTAAGTGACACTCAAACATTTTTTTCCACAAAGTAGCTAGTGCTTTAAAGCTTTGTTGCGTAAGAAAGCCGTAGAGTGGCATTCTTCTAGAACCAGTGGTAATGGACAGGGAAGAAACTCTAGAATGATGTGTGCAGGACTCTAATCATCTCCAGTGGTAAGTGGACTTGCAGGTCTTCTCATGTGAGAGAAATTTATGCAGTCCTGGGAACAGGCCCAAATAAAGTACAAAACAGTCTGCTTGTAAATAAAATCCAGCTACAAAGTGGGGAAATCCAGGATAATTATTCTGCATGTTCAAGTGATTTGGTACGTCAGCTCTGTTTTTATTATTGCCTTTGTAAAATGGAAATGAGTTCAGACTTTGATCAACGTTGGATAATTAAAAGGTTAGGTAAACAGGTTTCAGAAAAGATATATTTACACCTTCAAAGGAGGTGTTGTCTGGACAAAAGTAACACAGATGACAGAGCTTTTATTTTAGCAGGAAAACACGCCAAAGACCAAAAGTGAAGTATTTACTTGGTGCTGTAAGCCACAAACAAAAACCACTTTAAATTTCAAGGTATTATGTTTTAGAATTTATTCCTCTATACTCCCTGCTCTTTCACAAGCAGTCAGTGTGCAAACAAAACACAGGAGTTGGTAATACATCTATTTTACTGTCTAGTCATTTAAATCTTACTAAGCCTTAATTATCTTGTCTATTCTATTCCTTGGCACTCTAATGGCATGCAACAGGATTAGCCTCTCTGGCCATGGAAACAGGAAGTGCTAAATGTGAATGGCAGGGACGTGACTGGAACACAACGGCTGCTGCGCACCCCAGGATTGCCTCCATCACTGTCATGTTCTTGGTCCGTCTGCCATTTCCTCCCTCTTACCTAACTCTTACATGTGTCTTAAGCTGCCTTTCATATACATCTTTTGGCATCACGCATCAGCAGCATAAGCTGGAATAGTATCAGCCAAACCTTGGAATCAGTAAATAACTGTATATTCCCAAAGAGCTTATTGTCAGTATTATTCTGGAAACATAATATATTGAGTTTGTATGTCATTCCAAATGTATTTGTCCTTAAGCATTAAAGATAGCCAAGCTTTTGCTAATAATAAGGATAACATTGCTGATATAGTAGTTGATGTGGGCCTATGAAGTCATTTAAATCTTAGGGGAAAAAAACTCGACATGTTAGCACAAATTACCTATCTTACTATGCAAGGCACAAATTTAACAAGATTCCAAACACAGTGCCATAAAATTGTGGCTGTTTCCATTTGTGACCTCCAGGAGGAGCTCCTCGCCCATTAAGAATCTAAGGCAAAAGCCTTTCACACAGGATGCACCTTTCCTATAAAAGCCATTTCATTTTAAAAGGTATGAGTGAGTGTTTCAGGGCGACCGCACGATTTCAGTATATGGGTCAGTAAAATTCTTCTAGAAGAAACATAGTCTTTTATGTCATTTTGTCATTATGTCATTTTCCCTCTTGAGATTTGCAATGACCCCTTACCTGCATTGTTTTTAACTTTGCTTTTTTTTTTTTTTTCAAAAAAAGAGGACAGTTTAAAATGGTTATTTTAATTCAGTGTGTTAGAAAGCTCTGTCTTGTGCATACAAAAACTATTTCTGAATATTGCTGGGACTCAACTCCTGAATGGATAAGATAACGACCAATGTTATTTTATCCATTGTAAGGCTTTGATGGAAACAGGTCATCTTAAAAGTTCTGGCACAATAATCTGAAAGCCTGCGCAGTGCTGACTTGGCACGTCAGCACTGGCTGACGCTAAGAAAAGAGGCATGGACGGACAAACGTACAGTGCACCCGAAACGTGACCTCTTCAGAAGGAGTACCTCCCTTCACACACTGCTGGGACGGCTGCTGACTCAGGCCCCTCCTGTCCTTTCCTACAGTTCCAACACCACTATTTCGGAGGTGCTGGGTCAGCTGAAGCAGATGAAATCACAACAGCGCCATCTTGTGGTACGCCATAAAACCCCTTTTGTTCAGAACGTCCTGATGATCACATTTTACATTCCATTCCTTGTACACAATGCGGCCTCCTTGGGGGTATTACTCTATATACCCAATGTTACAGAAATATTGTAGCAATCCAATTTGTTAAAGAAAATGAATTAGGATAAAGAAATAAATCAAGCTGCTCAGTTTAACATTCAGCCTCCAGACAATAATATTCCTAATCATTCCAGGAGGGAAAATCACTTGAGAGAATGAGATTCTGCCACCTCTCTTTTCATTGTCAGTAAGTTACTGGTTTCTTCATTCTCTTGGAGGAAAGATATCGAGCACATCTAACGAAATGTTACATACTGTTCATTTCTTCTCTTTCTAGTTCAGTACCTCTTGCTTTGTCCTCTGAGCAACAGGGACCAGCAGGAGCTATGTCCATTAACAAATGGTACCTGTGCTTTAGAACTTTTATTGCCTTTCTTTTGATTCAATAAAATGTAATTTAAAAAAATTCAATGGCTAGTAATCTGTAATTAAGTGACCTTAAAATAAGTTTCTGAACCTTTGAAACAAGTCCTGTCTATCTAGAAGGGACCCTTTACAACTCCGGACATAGGAACAAAATGGCAGCCTGTTATTTAACTTTGCTACTCCAAAGACTGAGGGCCAAATTATTCTGATTAGAGACTGTGTTCTCAAATCCTCAGGTATTTATTATATTTGCGACTTAGACATACATACATACATACCTGTTCCACTCAGTTACACAAATATTTATTCCCTCATGTAAAAATGAAATACCTTCAGGATCACACAAAACTGCGCATCAGTTTTCTTTGGACATAATGCATGTTGGGCTCTGCATGGTCTATTCTACAAAGAATTCCCAGAAATGAAATCAGCCAGACCCTGGCTGGTGTGGCTCAATGGATTGAGCGCAGGCCAGATTCCCCATGAGGGCCACGTGATAGGCAACCATACATTGATGTTTCTCTCCCACTCTTTCCCCTTCCCTTCCCCTCTCTCTAAAAGTAAATAAAATTAAAAAAAAAAAAGAAATCAGCCAGAAACTTACCCATGCTTCAAGCTAATGCCTCCTCCAGTCCCAGTGACCCAGCCCAAATGGTAAAACTGTTTGCAAAGCTCTGGGATCAGGTATCTTGGATGTTCCTTGTCCTTAAAAAAGGAGACAATTATTTTAAAACCAGACATTGTTTTGTCAAGTGACTATTCTAGCTGAAATTTCTATGAAGAAGCCAATTTAAGAAAGTTTAAGGAAATCTATCACAGAGAAGATACTGTGAGGGAGAAACCTATCATAAAACATACTTTGTTTTTAATGTTTACAAAGTGGATCCACTGTATTATGTGGCAAGCTGGAATTTTCCAGTATGGGGTCTACAGTCCATTACTATGAAACAGGTTATAAGACCAGTATATGGCACAAATGCCTATGTCTATTGAGATGGCTGAAATAAAGTAAAATCTAGTGTTGAAGGAGCGTGCTTGTCATCTAGTAAAGTTCTAGTACACAAAACATTTAATTGACGCACCATATATATGATACACTATAATAGCTATTTGTTCATATTCTGTTGGCTCAATTTTTTAATTCTAAAAATGCCTTGTCTTTTTACCATAATGATTGTTTTTATTTTCTCTTATTACAAAAGCAGTATGTATTTATTATGAAATATAAAGTCAAGGAAATAACAAAAAGCACTCACTTGGAAACAATCACAATTAATATACTCCTTGGACCTATTTCTGTAAAAACAGGTTGTACAGGAATACATGCATATATGTCGAGATAAACACTGAGTCTGTTGATTTATTTTATTGAGGCGTAATCGACATATAACATTTTAGTTGCAGCTGTATAAACATTTTTATTTGACAATTCTATATTATATATTATGAAATGATCAGCATAATAAGTCTAGTTAAAATACGAGCCTTATTTTTATATGTCTAATAATTATTTCTTTAGGAAAAAAAAGTTTTTCCCTCTTTTTCAAAGTTAAAATGAATGAAAACAAAAATAAAGAAATAAAATGAACTCCATTTTTGGCAGCATGATATACAACCCTAACTTTGAAAACAACTAAAATGCTGAATGAATTGTTTTTAAAAATATTTCAAAATAAATTGCTGAGCTGGCAAGAAAGTAGATCTCATAGGGACCATAAAAGAAATGAGAGTAAATCGACCTGGAAGGAAAGCCAGCTCCAAAGCCATCCTTTCCCTTGAAGATTTTTGCAAAACTCTGGTGACCTTGAGCTTCAACTCTGACAGCTGTGCAAGCTACTAAAAACACAGACAAAACCCAGGGCACGCTCCAAGTGTGGCATCTAACAGAAAATCCCTACATATGCTAGATACCCCAAGGGGATATACGCTCCAGCTAAAACAGACTCACAGTGAAGAACAGAATGGCAAGGGAGCTTGCCTATATAAATCTTGGCACGGGGTAAAAGAGAAAAAAACATCTTTGGGTTCAAACAAATTATTATTAAACAGGCTGAAGTTCCAGCTACTTAACTGGATTTCTGAAATCTCGGTGTTTCCCCAAATTGACTGTTAATATCTGACATATATTCTTTATTTAAGGTATTATGAATGATAATTTGAGGGAGTAGATTCAAAATATAAAATTAAGAACATGGGCACATTGAAAATTTTTAAGTTCTGACTCAACGCGGGGCTTAGGAGTTAATGGACATAAAGTTAAATCCCTATTACGTAATTTTTTGCTTACATGACTTTGACTTTCAGTTTACTGATCCATCAAATGAGAACATTATGAGGATTAAAATGAGAGAAAGTGAATATAAAGCGACCATCGTGATGTGTGACCCAATGTTAGTTTCCTTCCCATTTTAATGAGTTAAAAGTTCTTGAATTAAAATTGATAGTATAGCTATGTTGGGCTTTTAAAAAAATATATCTGTCTTAACAAAATCTAGCCAACTTATCCATTCCCTGTATAATGTGCTATTTCCTTTTTTAGGAATATAATGATTTTTTAATTATATAGCAAAGTACAGCTAATGAGAAGACTCCTGCCATTTTCCAGTCCTTGGAACCAGCAATTTGCCCCATAAGTTGTAAACGTTATAGAAAACGGTCTGTGATTAAGGACCTCCCTCTGCCTTTTTGTCTTTTCCAGTACCGAGGTGCTACAGCAGTTAGCCAGCTTCATTCTGCAGGAATAACCACGGTGAGGCAGCTGTTGTTCATAAAGGTTCATTCACCAGTCCAAACCCACAAAGTTTCTATTTCTTTTTTTTTAAGATTTCATTTATTTATTTTTAGAGAGAGAGGAAGGGAAGGAAGGAAGAGAGGGACAGAAACATCAATGTGTAGATGCCTCTCTGAGGGGAGATGGGGGGATTTGGGGGAATGGGTGAAAATGTGAAGGGATTGAAAGAACAGTCATGGGGATGTAAAGTACAGCACAGGAAAGGGAGCAGCCAAAGAATTTATATGCATGACCATGGACATGAACAATGAATGGTGTGGGGATTGCCCAAGGCAATGGGGGGCTGCTGGGGGGAAGCAAAGGGGGGAAAGGGGGAGGCAAAGGGGGCGGGGAATTGGGACAATTGTAATAGCATCATCCACAAAATGTAATTTAAAAAAAATAAAATAAACATGTGTCAAAGATATTATTTAATTATTCAACTAACAAGGGAACCAGAAGTACATTCTAACGGGTACCAAGGAGAATTCAAAACAAACACTAGCCCATGTAAGTAACCAGGAATTCTAGATTTACAAATAAAGCAAAAACAGGACAATATCCACCATGCAGCAATAAGCTGAACGTCCGGGATACAAACTGCATCTCCATGAACAATAATCGTCTGCATCACTGTCAGTATTCAACAATTCACAGCGTTGTAAAGTAGCTCAAAGAGAGCCCCAAGACAGTGAGTGATCTTTTCCACTCACTTCCGTTTTTCACCATTTGTCCTGACACTGGCCTCAGGGAGGGACTGGACACAGACGCGGCAAAGTTGTCAGCGCTGTTTTTGTCCCTTCCCGCACGTCTGCCCCATTCTTCTCTGTGTGCGTGTTGGTTTTTCTTCGCAACTTCACCTGCACTCAAAGCCCCTCGCCACACTTAAAAATTCTTCTTCACGTTAATCAAGCACTAACTAAAACTCAGAAGACCGTAAGGCAAGCCAGAGCCCTCTGGATATCAGTTTCCTTATAATAATGATCTCAATGATTCTCAGACTTCTCATTGTCAAGATCGGTAGTTTGTGTTGTTTTCAAATTTGAGAGACTGACATAAGATTGCTAAGTTGCAGCATTAACTGTATTTAACAATCACTATCACCTTCTTCAAAAAGAATAAAGTGCATTTTAAACATAAAAAAGTAGGAAGGATAATCTCACAATAAAAAGATAATCCTTTAAATCGAACACAATTAATTTTGTGAAATTCACTTTTTCACTAATTTTTCTTATTTTGCCACAGTGAGTAAAAATTCTTTCCAACTGATATTTAGGGGGAGGATTGAGGTTACCTTCTCCTATTTGGTCCCCTTGCCTACAATTTCTCCTTCTTCTCCAGCTTGCCCTTTCACTCTACTATTAATACTGAAACAATGAACTACTTTGATTATTAAGCCCCATTCCCCACATCACCTAATGCCTAAATACCACCTTCTTAATCTATGTCTTTCTCCTTTCTTTCCCTCATGTAACTTTTCAAATACTTTCTTTCACTTTTTTACGTAAGTCTCCCAGTTCCACTCAACCTCAATGTGAAAGTCGGCCACCATGATGGCTCTTAATGATCTCCTGGCATTCACACCATGCATGGTCCACAGTTCCTCTCCATACTGGCCTGGGGTTGGTCCGTATGACCAACAGACTGCTGCAGAAGTGACAGTACGTCACTTTCGGGATTGGGATTAGGCTGCAGAGCGACAGATTGCAACTGGATGCCCTCTCTCTCAGATCACTCGGTGTGGGGAAGGCCAACTGCTCAAGACACTGAGAGGCCTGTGCAGAAGGCCACGTGGCGGGGAGTGGAAGCCTGCGACAGACCAAAACTCAGCGAGGAGCGGAGGCCTGCCAACAACTCCACGAGAGGGCTTGGCTCACTCCAGCTGCGGTCTAGACTTGAGAGCAACTGCAGCTCCAGCCAACAGCTGGGCTGACAACTCCTGACAGACCCTGAGCCAGAACCTCAAGCTAAAGTCTCCTGGATTCCTCCTTCTCAGAAACTGAGACAACTAATGCTTGTGTTTTAAGGTTAAGTTTTGGGATACTTGTTATGCAGCCACAGATAACTAAGACATTTTCTTGCCAGCCAAGAATACGTTCTTTCTCTTTGCACCGTTATTGCTCATGCTGGACCTCCAATAATCCCAACTCTAGTTGTCAGACTCCTGCTTGTCAGCTTTCACCAGGCCCCTTACCCACTTCATCCACGATCCCTTCTCACACTGCACCAAAAAGTGATCACTCCTCCCTTGGACTCTGTACCACAGCATCTGCTCTACAGACCTTTCTTCTGGCATTAATTACAAAGCCCCCTCATCCATTCATTCATTCATTCAACAACTTTTATTGAAGCCCCCCCCCCTGCAAAATGAATCCTTACCCTTGAGGAACTCGAAATTTAGTAAAGAAGTTAACAGTTACAAGGCAACAAAGCAACATACAATACGTGATAATCCAGGGCATTACAGGAACAGAAGCTATGGGTGGGAGGGAGCAGGAGTTAGGAAAAGCTTCCCAGGAGGGATGGTTGTGCTACGTATTAATGAAGGAAAGTGGGGATATACTGGGTAGATGAACAGGAGAAAGGGTGTTTCTGTCAGAGAGAACACTCCGCAGTAGGAACCGGTTATAAATCAGGTTCTGTGGGATGGAGGGGAAAGGAAGGCAGAGTAGGATCGATCACACCATGCACAGCAGGTGGGACTTTATTTCACAGGTAGTTGAAAACCACTGAGCAGTTTTAGACAGAGGACATGATCAGATCTTGGTTCTGAAACACTGCTACAGTGACAGTGGAGAGAAGAGGATGACAGGTGGTGACCAAGAAAGCAAAAGACTAGACCAGTAAGGAGGCTGTGGAAAGTTCTGAAAGGAAATTGCAAGGGAGTGATGGTGGAGATGGACTTGGCAGGTATTTTAGAAGTTGAAATGAAAGGCAGAACTCTGGATGAGAGAACTGAAGAAATGCAAGGTTTCAAGGACCTGTAAGTTTTGGGTTAGCTGAGTAGCTCAAGTCGACAGTGATGCCATTCACTGGGATGGGAATCAGAAATATTTCTTGAGTACTTACGGGCAAAGTGTGTCTGGGAAATCAGCTAAGAACAAGACAAAGTACCTGCTCTAAAGGAATTTCCAGGGCAGGGGCTAGTTTTTATAAACAGAAGACCAAATTAATAAACAAATTGCAATATATAAAATGCAATAAGGAAACAAACAAGGGACTTAGAGAAAAATAGCAAAGATCAACTCTGATTAAGGAAGGCTTCTCTGAGTAGGAAACATTTAAGGCTTAACAAACATGGAAAAACCAGTGTCCAGTGTATGACGGATGAGTGTGTGTGCACAGGCAAGACTCTGAGCTGGGGACAGGCAAGCACTCCAGGCAAAGGAAACAGCAGATGTAAAGAACCAAGAGTGAAAAAGTGTTTGAGGAGTTTAAAGAACAGAAAGATGATTAGTTGGCTAGAGGGATGAAGTGTTGAAAGTGGTGGACTATGAGTTCGTAGAGCCAGATCACCCAAGAGCTTGAAGGCTATGCTGACGAGAACAGTCCTGCCAGAAAAAGAATTGAATCACGGCGAGAAAGACAAGCAGAGGGAGAGAAAGAACTTCAGGCGAGAGGGGATGGAGATCCGGAGCACACGTGGAAGAAGTGGCCTTCCATTTTGCAAAATGAGAAGGTGATGGGCTCCTGTTTAAGCAGATCTGCAGGTTTTGTGGTAGGAAGTTCGCATCTCATGACTTCTGTTTTCTTAAGTGGAAACAAAGTCACCAGCTGAGTGAGAATGTGGGGACAGGGTATGAGAGCCTTGAAAAGAGACCAACTAGTCATTTCTAGGAGCAGGACAGCAAAGTAGTAGGGAAGTATAGGAGGGGTGTTGGATAGTACAAAGTGCCAATTTGAGGTTAAAATCTTGACTATGAGGTGAGGCCTGTGAGCACAGTTGTGTGATTTTTCTCTGGCAATGTTCAGTCCCATACAGCATGGATAACAGCGTGCACCTTGGGATGGAGTTTCGCTAGGCCAACTGTATTTGTAACTAAGGTCAACCATGACCTTAAGCAACAACTGTTTCAACAAATTGGTTATAAAAAACTGCATTGAAATGGATTAAGAAACTAATAAAATTTAGAGGCAGAGAATTCTAAGGACTCTTTAAGTAGTGTTGCTACAAAGGGCTCAATGCAGAAGTAGAAGGGAAAACTGGTTAATAGAGCTTTTCACATGTGAGGAGGTAAAATTAGGGAGAGAGATTAAGAGTATCAGAGAGCAATAACCTTAATAATAGGTCAGTTTAGTGGATACAGAAGCTAGAATTAGAAAAACAGGGAAAAATGTGCCTCCGAAAAGAGGAAGAGTAAAGATGCAAGTAAATACAGGGTGGGGCTCAAGTAGGTTTACAGTTTTTCTTATGGAAAAATACAATAATAATAAAAGAATAAACTGTTTTGCATATAACTGTAAATCTACTTTTGCCCCACTCTATATGTAATAATACAACTGATATTGAGAGTAGCTACCATTGTTTTGGTTCACGGGCTAGTGCTCAATCCACTGAGCCACACCAGCCAGGGTCAAGAATAGCTAGCTACCATTTTTTGAGTGCTTATTTTGTGCCAGGCACTACCCTACAGGCTCTATATGGACTTTACTTAATCCTTATAATAACCATATTATTCCAAGAAAGATTAATTTGTCCAAGGCCACCCAGGTAGAGAAGATTTGAACCTAGGCAGTCCGATTCTAGATGCCTAGTCCTTAACCTTTCCGTGATAATGTGGGAAGAGGAAGAAACTGAAGTTGACAAGTTCACACCTAATAGCTTCCATAGTAGCAGCTTTGTAGCAATTCTGGAGGCAAGGTCGGCTGCAAAACAGGGTTGGGGTAGATGGTGAGGTTCTGAGATAGATACTTAGGGGACTGTTCAAGGGAGCTGCCCAGACGACTGAGGCGCTCAGAGGCTGGCAGCAGCTCATAATGCGGTAGACACTGAAGGGGGTTTATAACAGGCCTCCCCAAGATGTGCCACTTCGGCATGTGAATTATTTTCAGTGGAAGGCAATCAAGACCCTGTAGACTCAGGAGAAACTGTTACTTCTCCCTTAGAGAACTGAAATTTGGAGCCTTGGCCATTAGAGTTATTACTAGAAATAACTTTATAACTTTTCATGACCTATCTATGCTATCTATAAGGCAGGGCAAACTTCTAATTACTTGACGCCTGCTCTTCTTATCATTCTATGAATGACCTTCCCTCCCCTCTGAAGCACCAAGGCATCATCCTGCAGCTCAGAAAGTCACATACAAGGTCTGCGCAAAAGGTTTCCAGCCATGTAGTACGAAAAATAGGGACATTGATTGAAGATACAAAATATAAGAAACACTGTACATAGGACAATGACACCTTTGTCCCCTTCAAAGTAGGCACCTTGGGACCTCACACGGTTCTCCCCATTGTCATCAGCTGCCCAATCATATTTTCCTGAATCTCATCCATGATTTAAAACCTCTTCCTTTTCCAAGGAGATTTTAGTTTTTGGAAAAGAAGTTGCAGGCTTTAGGGAGCTGAGTCACCTGGGTGATTTGATGTTTCACCAAAAACTGCTGTACCAGACAAGATGCAGGAGCTAGCATGTTGTCATTATGAAGCTGCCAATCACCAGTTAGTTGCCCATACCTACGGCCTTCTGAATCATCTGCACAATAGCCGTGGAGGAATATTCAAGTTTAATGCAAAATTTGATACAGATGCATTGCTCTACTGGCTCAGTCATTTTGTATGTGATGGCCACACAGTATACATGCTCACTCAGGGTATCTAAGGCCCCCCCACTGATTAGTACAGTGAAGTCATCATTCATGCATAAGCATTCCAGTCCACTGTCTTTGGCTGCCAGCCTACATCATGTCACACAAACATTCTCATATTAGCAATGGCTGGACTTTTTCCAGACAGGCCTTGTATGCCTTGTTTTACCTTTCTGTCTCTGAACCTCTCAGGTATATGGAATTTCCTTATTTACTATGTTATTAAATTCAGTTCTTTTCTTATTAATCTGTCTCATGTTGATTTGATTATGGAACCAGTCAAAAGAACCTAGAAGGGAGAGGAAAACTTCATCCTCCTCCACAAGTATTTCACAATAAAACCTCAGGCTGGTTATTATTTTTTAATTGGGATCTTCAGCCTTAATAAAGACAAGTGGGAGATGAATAAGGGGGCTAATTTTATCCCTGCCTCATAAGCAAGGCTTCTCACATTGTAATGAAACTGTCTAGTATTCCTCTAGACCCTAGGCCATACATCATCACTGTATCAATGAGAACGTAGGCGCTCAATAAAATTGTTGGTGTGCGCAAGTAAATGAAAAGCATAGCAGCCCTAGGGTGGATGTTCCTTTGACCTCAGTTTAAGAATCCCTTCTATGATCATACCATAATCAATCTAAACTGAGGGTGGAAAACTGCTGAGGGAAAGTGCTGGCTACTAAGGCCAGCTCTGATCAAGGCAAACCAGACCAGAGTCCATCCCCCACCCCAGCGTGTGCTTTCAGCGTGCTCCGCAAACTTCAGGCTGGTAGCTAGTGCGCAAAGGTAAGCTTGAGAGCTCGGTGTTTGTTCCATTTCCACTCCAGCGCTGCACGTTCTGTCCAGCGCTTGATTGGTCTGTCTTCCTAGTAAGTTCCTTTAAAACACACAATTAAGGCCTCGAATGCTCCCCTCCGTGGTCCCTCCCATTTTCAACGTTTGCTGCCCACCTCCCACCCTAGGACAGCCCAGTCCCGGGAAGTGACTGCTGCAGGTTGTGACCTCAGGTCGCTTTGCGGAGTCAAGTTGCGCGGGAGTCGCGTTAGGGCCTCCCGGAAGCCCCCTCCAAGCCCCACCGGGGCCTAGCCTCCTAGGAATAAAGGGCACCCGCGGCTCCGCCCCTACCTGCAGGCGGCATTGCCGAGAGCAACACTCTCCCTCCGGAGTGGGACAGCCAGACATAGCCCGGACTAGGGACACCTGCTACTCCCGTTAGTCGCAGGGCTTTGCTCCGGGCGATCCACGTGGACTAACGCTGCGAGGCCTTAAATTAGTCAGGCGGTGCTGTGGACATCCCAGGGACTGGGCGTACAAGACGGTGGGCGGGCCTACGGGCCGAGGGGGGCCTCGTTGACTGGCAAGCCCGCGGCTCAGCCCCCTAACTGGGAGGCGGGGCCAACTGGGTTGGAGGCGGGGCTAGGGGTAATAGAACTCCAGCAGAACCGGGAGTTGAGGGGCGTAACTAACCGAGTGAGAGGCGGAGCCTGGGAGGGGCTTGATGACAGAGCGATCAGGCTGTGCTGCGACAGCCGACGTGAAGGCTGGGAAGATGGCGGCCTCCTGGAGGCTAGGCTGTGACCTGCGGATGCTGCGCTACCTCCCAGGCTTCGGCGGCCGGCGAGGCCTGGGGCTGGTTAAGGGAGCTGCTGGGTGGACTGCCGGCCGCGGAGCTAGTTGGAGATGGCTTCACAGCACTCAGTGGCTTCAGGGTGAGTGACCGGACCTCACTCAGCTTCTATGTGTAAATGAGCAGTGGGGCAGGGTCAGGGGCTTTTTGATTGAGGTTCTGCATTTGGATATGGAGGTTTTTCGGGGCTCCCCGTTCCCTTTTCTTGGGGAGGGTCTGCTGATTTGACCGCCTAATACGTGCATGTCCTGAACGGCTTTCCTCGGAGCAGGGAGAACTTGACTCCGTCTTTGGCTTCCTGGTTGGTATGGTTTCTTTTGACCTTGCCCTGGAATTTGGGTTTTGTTTTTGTTTTCTTTTTTTGCGAGGCGCGAAGACAGGTCCTAAGCGCCCTTCTCTGAGGCTCCTTCCTAGTCACGCGTCAGTTTCCTTTAGGGTTGTCAAGCATCTGTGTCAGGGAAAAGGTGCCCAAGGTTGCTGAGATTGAAAAGCCACTTTTGGCTGTTCTTATTCATTCTTTTGGCTTTTCCCTAGTGGGAGACCTTTTCTTCTAGGCCACCAGGGTTGTTCCACGCGACTAGTAAAGGACTTAATACATAAATGTTCACTGCATCATAGACATAGGTCTAGCAAAACGTGAGTGTGAAAGAGTGAAAAGTTAGGAGGGGAAATCGTAACATGAAATTTATTATAAGAAATCGTCATTTGTTGATGATATTGACACAGCAGTTCTTCTGGTATTTAACAATAGGTAATATAGCATGTGGGGCATTATTTATCTTTACATGGGGCTGAGGTGGGGTCACAGGATTAACCTTTTTTAATGTGACCCGTTAGCTGCCAATCATCATTCTGCCACTGCATAGAATGTACTTTAATCTAAAAAATAAGGAGCAGTAGACATTGCCTACATATTTTGGGCTACCCAAGCTTGGAAAAAATGAGTTACACAAAGTCACACGGTAAGATGAGTGCACTGAGATTTCTAAAGATTTGGTGATAGGGATAATTTATTTTAGTTTCTTCAGGTTAATGTTTCATCAAATACTTGTAGCAATGGGTCTTTAACTGTGTATAGACTTCCCTTTTCCTCCCAGTTTAATAAATATTGAACTTTCCTACAGCTCCCAGAGATTTTGCCTGAGGTAGAGCTCAGCAATCTGAATTTTACAAACAGCCTTAGAGAAGCTTTGATATTTTTTATTGTTGTTTGACAAACTACGCTTTGAGACTCACTGCCTTAGAAAAGCATGGCATAGTAAAAGCCAGGTGTTGGAAATAATTTAGGGACAGTATTTTTAACCTTGTTTGTAAAGCAGATCATTTCAAGGATATTCGAATGCTCTAGATCCTCTCTGCAGAGAAATGGGCGTATGTTCATGCAGGTTAGGAGGCTTTCCTTAGACCCAGTTGAAGGACCCCTGCCTTTAGAAACCCACTTAGGCAACCCTTACCTGATGTATCAGGATATTTGCCCCTCCCTTGCCCCCCCACCCCCCCAAACTGTGAATTACCTGTCTAACTCTGCTTGACAATCACCTGTAAGGAAGAGGACACGACATCCTGTGGAAGCTGTATCAGTTTCCTAGTGCCTTCTTTTTTCACATATTAGCACCCTCATGATTGCATCAGGCCTACCCAATAATATAGGATGCTTTCCCCATCTCAAGGTCAGCTGGTTAGCAACTTTAATTCCTTCTTAAACCTTAATTCTCCCTTGCCATGTAACCTAACATCTTCACAGGTTCTGAGTGTTAGGACCAAGATGTCTTTGGCGGGGTGGCGGTGAGGGGAGTGTGGGCATTATTCTGTCTACCACAGAAGCCGATTGTGTTGTAGGGTAGCTCTAAGTTATTTGGAAGGTTTGGAGTTTTTTCCTGATTTTGAACCAAAATTTGTCTCCTGTCCTTTCACCTACGAGTTTTAGTTCTGCCATGCTGAATGCACATGGCAGTTCTTGAGCTCTTGGTGTTACAGAGCCGCATGACTTTACATGGTGTTTGTTCATTTTTCTCTGAGCTTGGTAGAAATTATTTCATAAAACTAAGCAACTATTTGGTAATCTACAGATTATGTTAATTAAGTATGACTGTTGGACTATTTTCTTTTTTTTTACATGTCTACCCATGATTTAAAAATATGTCAGATGTACGTACACTTGGATTTTGATTTCCTTAAAAGGTATTTATTGGCAGCATTTTTATGAGCTATGACATATGCACTATGACGTGTTTAGCACTTCCTAGAAAATCCTTATTCACTTCCCGTAACAACCTAATAAAGTTGGCATTATCTACATTTTATTTGGACAAAAATACAAAGTCAGAGTAAATCTCTAGCACATAGCTCTAAGGAACTTTAAAAGAACAGCAGATGCAAAGGCCCAGAGGCCAGATGTGGTATTTACATAAGTGACACAGCATCTATAAATAGTTTTTCAAACTAGTCTAGGCAGTTAATTTTGTAGAGTTTCTACTGCTGCCCTTTCAGACTAAATGGCATTGTCTTCGATTTAATTAATTAATAACTAAGATGTTAATAATATTGGTTGTAAGTTCTTTCTGAGGAATAACATGTTGAATTTAAAATATCATGTGAGTAGAAAAATGAATGAGGTTCAACCTTTGTAGTGCTTTACCTAATATATAGCTACAGGCCTTGCATATTATACATGTTAAATAAACATCTAGGGAAGCTAAAAATCTGGAAAGTTGTGACAGGACACAGAGGTCCGCAGTGGGATTGCAGATCGGCAGCCAGTAAACTGACGTAGGCAATGCATTTATAGTAGCTAGTGATCTAGATAATTTTCTGCAATCAAGACTTTCTTGTATTACATGAAAAGCATTGGTTTTTAGTGAGGGATGAACGTATTTGAAAACCATTAAAAGCTACACCACTTTTTTCAGAAAAATACACACATAGAAAATTTTTTATGTGATTCCAGGGAACTCGGATCTCCCTGTAACTTAGAAATTCCTGCCTCCCCCACTTCCATAAACATTTTGGGTGTTTCCTACAGAAATTAGTTGTGCTACTTTACAAAGGTACTTACTATGTCTGAGAATAAGGAAGATGTGTTTGACAATAAGGATGCCAGCTATAAATAAATGACTAATAGATGCATTTACATGAGAGTCTACAATGAGACCACTAATTTGGAAGTCTTGATTCAGATCTGAGTTTGTATTAAATTGACTTGTGGCTTTAGGCTCCTCGGACAATTCACCTTTCCTTAAACATGGATAGTTCTCTTTCATTTGCTCATGTTGTTCCTTCAAACCGGAATGACTTTGCGGTGTGAAATTGTTTTCATTATTTAAGTGCCACCCATCTAAGTCTTTCTGTAGGGTCCTGGCGAGGAACATAGTATTGTTCCTCGCCAGGACCCTAAAAGTGGGTAAATAGAGCTGAGTTTAATGAATAACCATTTTTGTAAGTTCTGGATGTAGAGATGGTGCTGTACTAAGGGGCTGTTTCGGGCAAGGTGCTGTCACCACTTCTAGGCTTCAAGGGGAACAGGAGGAGCCAGTTAGCAGAATTGGGAAGGAGGGAGTCTGCGGAAAGGCCCCGTGATGGAGATGAGCCCTTTTGTTAAAGGATCCAACGCACTCCTGGTGACCCCGCCAGGAGGAAGCTGGGGAAATAAATGCCCTGTCCTCACTCTCCTCTCTCTCTTTAGCCTCCTGCTTACGCTGCTCATCGGTAGAACCCAACCGGAGGCCAAAGCCCGTACAGCAGTGTGTGGGAAGGTTGAGAAGTCCACCTGGACAGACAAATGGGGGATACCTCCCACACCTACCAGACTCACAGTCATCAGTCATTGTCATTTACATCTCAGTTTTAGCACTGAAACTAGCAAATACTATCCCTTATATATATTTTGTAGTTCTCATGCTTTAAGAGGTGAAGAGAGCAAGTATAGTTTCTACACGTGAAAGAATCATGTGTCCCTGTATTGTGTCCCCAGGGCAGTGCCTTGCGCAAGAGTAAGCACAGGGTTTTTATAACTGACCTGATTGATTTTCAATGGTTTTTTCAGTCTGTATTTGAGTAGCTGAATAAGGAATCAAGTTTATTAGTTTATAATATTCTTTGGGCACTTTTATAGGAAGAAAGATTTTCTTTTGGTGCTATGGCATCTGATTCTGATTTTTGTTCTTTCACTTGTACTCCTAACTCGTCCTTGACTCCTGACTTTCATATACCACATCAGTCAATCAAAACTCCTTCGTTCTACCTTTGAAGTATAACCTGACCACTACCACTATGTCTACTGCTACCTACTAGACTGGGCCAAGCCACCTCTAATCTAGATTCTTACAGCAGTGTCTCAACAGAGGCCCGTGCCACCACCCTTGGCCCAGTACGGACTGTTTCCCATGCAGCTTTCAGAGTGCTTGTAAATTGTAAGTCAGATCATGTCACTGAAAACCCTCCAAGAGCTTCTTGTTAAACACAGAATAAAACCTCAAGTCCTGGCTGTGGCTTCCAAGGCCCCGTGGGCGATGAATGCCCTCCAGCTCTCGACCTCAGCCTTGCCAGGCCTCTCCCCCACTCACTCCAGCATGCTGGCTTCTGTGTGTTTGGAACATGCCAAGCACACTCTGCTCCGTCTTTGTGCTCGCCGCTTCCTCTGTTTAGGAGGCTCTTCCATCAGATATGTACATGGCTTCCTCCATTTCTGCTCACTCTTTCATTGGAGGCCTTCTGTCTATCTCCTTAACTTTAAAAGCTAATTTCTGTGAGAGTAGGGATTGTTGTCTGTTTTTATTCACCTTTGATATCTCCAACCCCTAGAATCACCTACCTGGTAGGTGTGGAATAAAATATTTGTTGAGTGAATTACAAATGGATAAACAAAGGGCTTTTTTCTTTCCCCTCGTTTACTCCACTCCTGTGCCATGAACTGATCTTTCAGAAATGCCCACACCCCAGCCAAGACCCTTCCATTTCTCCCTGACACTTTGTAGGATGAGGGACCTGGTGTAGAAGTGTAGAAGGACCTGGACCCTAGGTGCCTTTTTAGTCCCTCAGGTCAAAGGGTCTGATTGAGTAAAGGAGACAAGAAACACGTTCGTG